ATTCTCTCTCTCGTAAATAAATAAAATCTTTAAAAAAAAAAAAAAGTTTAACTTTAAAAAAAAAAAAGGGGTGCCTGGATGGCTCAGTCATTAAGCGTCTGCCTTCGGCTCAGGTCATGATCCTAGGGTCCTGGGATCGAGCCCCACGTAGGGCTCTCTGCTCCGCGGGAAGCCTGCTTCTCCCTCTCCCACTCCCCTTGCTTGTGTTCCCTCTCTTGCTGTGTGTCTCTGTCAAATAAATAAATAAAATCTTTAAAAAAAAAAAAAAGTTTAACTTTTCATCCTTTTTTTGTTCCTTATGAAATTTGTTTTTTTATGTTCTTTTTTCTTTTTTATGACATTTGAATTTTTGTGGCTTTTTACTTCTGTCTTAAAGATCAAAGTTGGTATGTACAAAATATAGAAATTTCTAAGCATTAAGATATTTTCCCTCTCTTTAACCCTTTTCACTCCCATACATCCTTCTTTCTCCCCCAGTCCCTCCCAACACAGAGGGGGAGGGGTTAGTATCTGTCATGGTGCATACACATTTAATTGAAATTCATTCAATTGTGTTATATATTTTAACATGTGAAATTAATTGTGACCAAATACATCCTTGCAAAATATTCAAGAATACAGAAATATCATTGTTATGAGCAACAACCATTTAAGAAAACTTTGCTCTTCGCCAAGCTACCTGTAAATTTTTTCATGTATTTTATTGATGTCATTATTCCAGTTTTAACATTTTTCCATTATTTTTTCCTTATTTTTTTCTGTTGATTTCTCATTTTTTTCTTTTTTTCCCACCCTTATATGTAATGAGATGTCTTATTTTTTTCATTTGCACTTATATTTTTATCATTTCCCATCTGTTAGCAATTGCATTTGAAAAATCAACTCAAACAATTTATTGTTTACAAAGTAAATGTTCTTTGACAACAAAATCTAGTTAGACTTTTACTGACATGTCATGTGAAGTCTGCCGCAAACGTATTTTCAATTTTCATTATTTTTTATTTCACTGATCATCATTACAACAAAGGATTTGGGATAGAAATGATCATTGCCTTTTCCTTTGATTATCTTGCAGAGAGGTATAGGAGTGAATATTTTTGTTTTCTGTATTAAATGTGGTAGGTAATGTAGAAAATGAAAGTGTAGGTAAACAAAATGATTGAAAATTCCATGAAATATCAATTCTAAGACAGTCACAAGCAAGACTTTGGTATATATTTTAAAGAAGATATATTTCTATTTACATTATAGAGATTTCCCAAAAGGGTTATCCTTATTATAGTGTTTTCTGACTTGTTTGTTTAAAAATGGATTTTGAAGAGGCTTATAGTATACTTTGTCTTAGTTATATCTGAAGCAGAAATTGAGAATAAGTCTGTGTATTTGAGTAGATGTTTTAATATTTAAAACATTTAAAAAATGACAGTATTTTTCAAAAACTTGTGGCTCAAAACATCACTTTAGAGGGATTCACTCAGAGAATAGCTGAGTTATTTTAAGTAAAATATATATGAGATGTTGTGATATATTAAATGATGTGTAGGGCAGCTAAAAATTTTTTGAGACTCAAATATCATAGGTATGTGTTTGTTCATGTGGGGCAATAGACTGTACATGTAATAATAATTCATTTGCTTTAAGTTTGTACCTATATAAAATTTGATTAATTTTCTTCTGAATCAAGTGATAAATACTATGTGACATGATATTATGTGTTAATAAACACTAAAATTTTTTAAATTGTAATTATATTCCCAATTGATATCTTTTTTACATGTCTTCTTAACGTGTAGGTGATGTCTCTCAAAAGTTTTTTTCTTCATTACCTTGTGGTGGACTTGGGGTAAGTATGAGTTTGTTTACTGCTTTTAAATAACATAAATTGCCAAAAATATCTCCTTTGATTTATCTATTCAGGCTGTGTCTCCGTAAAAGTTATCCTAGACTTCAGGATTGGCTAAATAATTTATAGGGCTCAATTCCCAGTAAACATGCAAATTGCTGTGCTCAAAACTTATTAAGAATTTCAAGATGGTGACACAGTGAATTAATCCAACTGTGGGGCTCTTCTAACTCTAGGGTTCTGTGGGACTGCACAGGTCACATTCCCGTAAAGCTAGCTTTGCTAGACTTTTATGTAGCTGGAGAAAAGGTAACGCAAGAGGGTTTAACCGTTTTGCAGCAGAATTCAGTTATCAATAGAGTCACACGGAGTATGCAAGTACATTATATTCCTGATGAAAATAGCATTAACTTCACAAAGTGCTTTGCCTTGTGGCACATTTTGTTTGTGAACCCCTAGGGCCATTTTTGTCTTCAGTAATTAACAAAGCCTTTTTCGACCCAGGATATTTATGCCACATTTCAAGGACAAATTTATTTGAATCCAGTGACATATGAAGAAAAATGTCTACATTTTTATGGATGATTAGAACACATCCTTTAACCTGAAATCTATTTAAAGTTAACCCTTACCAGTAGCAACCTGTCATCCTATAGAACTAAGTGTTAAGTCATGTTAGGACAACACAATTCTAGATCAGGTTTCAAGGACTGAGAAATTTAAATCACTTAGGCTTCTTGAATATTGAAGGGAAAGAACTGTGTATGTCATATTTTAGGTAATATTTTGCTATAACTAAATTTTATACAGGGAAATGCCATATATTTTAAGTTAATTCTGTCGTTTTAGTGATTCTAGATTTCACAAGGATAATCTTTCTATTCCTTCACCTATGATTCTGCCCTCTCTAGAAATAAGAATGGCAACTACAACAACCAATATCTGCTTGGATTTTACAGTTTGTTAACATACAACTGAGGTTTATAAGAGCTTTGTAAAATAGTTATTATTTTTTCTTCGACCCAAGAACTGTGCTTTTTATTTTTTTCATAGTTTTAGCTCTTTTTTTAATTTTTAAATTTTTTACTGTTATGTTAATCATCATACATTACATCATTAGTTTTTGATGTAGTGTTCCATGATTCATTGTTTGTGCATAACACCCAGTGCTCCATGCAGAATGTGCCCTCTTTAATACCCAT